ATTTTCAGAAAATGTTGTTTTATTCGTGTTTTCAATAATCAACTCTTCTCGACATCTATTGGCGAATAATAATACTATTTTTCTTAATTGAGGGCAACTAGACGCTTTAAAGAAACAACAAGATGGGGTTATCAAAAAAAAAAAAAAAAACATCATCTAGTATCCTTAATGCGTAGATGTTATATATAGACAAATATTTCATTGAAACTTTTCTCCGACCATCTGTTTTTATATAAATATATAATACATTTTTATATACATATATAAATTTTCGTTCACTCACTTCGTTAAATTTGTATTTTAACAAATATAATATCTGTACTTTGAGTATTCGTCAAACATCTTATAAAATACGTTGCCTTGTGTACTGTACTGCTTAATGACTCAATCAAATTTAATAACAAGCTTTCAACTAAAATTGCTATGCAACACACATCCGTACCTAGCGATCATTAAATATACATTAGTCAGTGTATGTAATTTCGTGAGAAATAAACATTTGTTCACCAATGAATTTATCGAATGTGTGTATGTTTATAAAGGTAATGATTGTAGTATGCACTGAAGTGTACCAAAAGCAATTATTTAATACGAGCATAAAATAGGTTAGGCTTGAGGACATGGATAATTAATTTCCCGCGATTATTTATCAGGCGATAAGTGTACACGCATCGGATCAGCTACTACTTACTATAAGTTCCTTTGACTTAATTATCCCCTCTTTACGAATTATTTGTAAATACTTCTCCTCCCAACACATAGAATAGGCATTTTTATTGGTTTATTCACCTCTTGTGACTCCGCACGGATAGGCCTATTTGTGCCGTGAAGCAGTAATGCGTTTCGGTTTGAAGGGTGGATCAGCCGTTGTAACTATACTGAGACCTTGGAACTCATATCTCAAGGTGGGTGGCGCATTTACCTTGTAGATGTCTATGGGCTGCAGTAACTACTTAACATCATGTGGGCTGAGAGCTCGTCCACTCATCTAAGCAGTAAAAAAAATACACGTACCTACAAATATGGGCTTAAAATATCCAAGGTAATCTTGACAGTTTTGTAAGCGCTAATTAATCTTTTAGATTCAAGGGTCTAGAGTTCAGAAAGATCAAATCGGAGTTATTAAAAAGTAGTTTTTACGATCGTTTATTGATTTAAAGATGACGCAGTACTTCGCAAATTGTATTAGGAATCACTTTGTATAGTCTTGACGATAGTCTCTCTTTCATGTAGCTCATGTAGTCTGGTTATATCCGAGAAAAGTTTTATTAGAATAATATACACAGTATAACGAAATATGATATCTTCTTTAATAAGTGTTAACCCATAGACACAGCACACTGAGTTTCTCGCCGGATCTTCTCAGTGGGTCGCGTTTTCGATCCGGTGGTAGATTCTGCGAAGCACGGCTCATGCTAGGGTTCGTGTTAGCAACGTCGTCAGGTTTGAGCCCCGTGAGCTCACCTACTAGTTAAGGTTACGCTGAAATAGCCTTTCAAGGCTATCAGCATAGGTAGGAAAAAAAAAGTATAAGAATATCGCACATTTGTTTTTAAACCTCATGTATTATAATTCTTCCCAGTGATGTAGCGAGAGGGAGGAGAGAGAAGGAGGGGAGGGGGGTTTATCATGGTCCCGGTCGCTACACACAAAGGGGCACCAAAAGGTCCGCAAAACAATAAATGTTTTTTTTGATATAATTGATTTCTCGGAAATATATTTTCAATTAAGTGCCAGTGTAATATAATAAATGTTAAATCATAAACAAAAAGCTTGCGGCGAAGACCTTGTCAGTTTCACAAACAAATGCTCAGCCAGGAGGGTTGGGATTTGTTAACAGCTAACCGAGCGCCTCCGAATGAAACCTAACAGTTCAAGGACATTCGCTTCGCGAATGTATCTATTTATTACCTGAATCGGAATCGCGACCTGCTGAGAAGATTCAGAGCTGAGCACCACTGAGTCAGCCATTAAAAGTAGATATCACGTCACATACTATTAAATGTATAGTAAAACTTTAAGCCTTGAGAACCAGCTCCGCCGGTTTTTGTTCATTTAATTTTGTATTTTTAAAATAACACTGACTTTGAAAAGTACAAGCCTAAAATAATCTAAAGTCACTACAAGGATTTGTTTGTCATAGTTTTTCTAATTCAGAATATTATGCGAATGTTATCAAGAGTACAATATAAAGTATTGGTGAAGGTCACTTTCCCTTTGGGAGTAGGTAGTTTGTGCACCAATAACGTGCATCCGGGCCGTTATGGCTCAGTTCCTGTGCCGGCCACAGCGTGCCGTTGCCATCAAGGTCATCCATGGATATCGCACCGTCTCCTACGAGGCGGCGTGTGTGTTGGCGGGGACCCCATGGGACCACCATGGGAGCTGGAGGCGGAGTCGCTCGCTGCCGAGTATCGGTGGCGCAGCGAGGTCGTGCTCTGGGCGTGGTACGTGTCTCTAAAATTCAGCTGCGGGCGCGGAAGGCCCATTCTCGGCGATCAGTGCTCGAGTCGTGGTCGAGGCGGTTGGCCAGCTCCACGTGGGGCTTACAGACCGTCAAGGCGGCTTACCCGGTCTTTGATGACTGACTGAATCGTGGCAGAGGCGCGCGAGATATGTGGGACTTGACGATCTGCAGATGTTTGGAGTAGACCGCGAGCCCAAGGAATTTTAGGGCCCTACCGCACTAAACGACTCCCCTGCACTCTTACACCCGACGTCCGATCTCCGTTCGGGGTCAGAATCCGGGCAGAATAGGGAGGTTCCCGCGGTCAACGCTACAAACAGACACACGGTAATACCCCGTTGGGCCAGAACCAGCCTGCCGAGTTGGAACGCGATATACCGCCGCCCGGGTTGCCCTTCCACAGTATGTTCGGCGACGACAGCGACGACGACAACGCAGACCGCTTCGCAGGTCGCAGCCGCCGACGTGTTGTCCCGTCCTTCTGGTGCCAACGCGCTAGAGTGAAGGTAGCGTACGGCGTAGCCTCAGCATCCTCAGGTCGCCCCGTGACCATCACCGGGAGGAGACTGCCTCCTCACAGGAGCTAGAGCTGGACAAACTCCCCCCTCCGACCCTCCGCTGGGCGGCGGCGATACGGCGCCGAGAAGGAAGAAGAGCTCTCCCTCTCCCGTTCCGCTGTCTCCTTCTGCGAGATGGTGGACTCGCAGAAGTCTAGCATCGCCTGCCAGACACGTCGCTGCCGAGCATCGTAACCCCGACGGTCGATTAGTCGGGGATCTAATCTTTCAAGGTGAGCACGGAAGCTCCAAGGACCGTCCAGTACAAGACCGAGGTACCGCAACCGGGTCGCCTCGATCTCGACGCGAACACCTCCGATCACGAGGTGAGCTCCCTGAGGCGACGCAAGTCCCTCCCCCGGGCCACAACCAAAGTGTCGAAGTTTTTGATCTTAAAGACACCACTTCATGTTAGAAATACCTTCACCATTTAACACTCATACTACGAAGACCCTACCGAAACTCAGATTGTATAATATTATAATTCGAAAAATATCGAATATCATCTTCAATTTACCGACAGCTGTTATTGTGAAACTAGATTTCGTTATCAAAAGCTTAGTTAATAATAATAAAAATATAGAAAATTAATAGTCATTCAAAATGTACGCAATCAAATGTTATTTGTCATTGTTACATTAATCGTAAAACATATTATGTGTACAGCGGAACAAAAGGTGATCCTTCAGGCGAATAGATTGTCATCATATGGACATGTTGCATAGTTAGTACACTGGAACTGTGAATACTGTTAAAATATTTCAATTTCTAGTTTTTTTTTATTTATTGCTTAGATGGATGGACGAACTCACATCCCACCTGGTGTAAAGTGGTTACTGGAGCCCATAGACATCTACAACGTAAATGCGCCACCCACCTCGAGATATAAGTTCTAAGGTCTCAGTATAGTTACAACAGCTACCCCACCCTTCGAACCGAAACGCATTACTGCTTCACGGCGGAAATAGGCGGGGTGGTGGTACCTACCCGTGCGGACTCCCAAGAGGTCCTACCACCAGTGATTACGCAAATTATAATTTGGCGGGTTTGATTTTTATTACACGATGTTATTCCTTCACCGTAGAAGTCGATCGTGAACATTTGTTGAGTACGTATTTCATTAGAAAAATTGGTACCCGCCTGCGGGATTCGAACACCGGTGCATCGCTACATACGAATGCACCGGACGTCTTATCCTTTAGGCCACAACGACTTATTATTGTATTCCAATGTTCTGATATCTTTTTTTACTACCTATTCTAGTAACCTCGAGGGGTTATTCTAGATTCACCGAGCTAGTAGGTGAGCTCATAGGGCTGAAACCGAGAGCGTTGCTAACACTGACCCTAGCAAGAGCAGTGCTTCGCAGAATCTACCACTCGATCGCAAACGCGACTCACTGAGAAGATCCGGCGAGAAACTCAGTGGGATGTGTCTATGGGTTAATTTACTCGTCGAGCCCTTCGTCACAAGTGACGGGTTTGGCGAGGACGGTGACGAGTGCTTGAGGTACCTAAAAGCACCATTAATGGATCGGGAGGATCCGTAATGACGTGTATAGAGCGTGATATCTATGAGCATATAATGACATGACCGATAAACATTTAGCATCAGGCGGGCCGTGAGAACTATATGGTTATGTACCGCCATCTTGCATAATTCTACGGCGACAAAGTTATAAGGCGCGGTTTTAAAGGTGTGACAACCCTAATAGAATTCATTTCAGACTTCAACCTCATGGCTTGATGTCGGATATTCAGCTATAATACACAACAAGCTAACACAAATGAGCTGGGCCCTTATCGACATCAAAAATGTATTCAACTTTCGTAAAAAAAAAGAACATCGGTCTACTTAATAACCAATTTTTTTTAAATTTAGAATTACCTAAATAAATTCATTTTGTATCATCCTATTGAATTTGGTATTCATTGATAAAACTGTACGAGGTTCGTGATTATTGTGGTCACACTCAATGGTGTTTGTACGAAATTATATTCTGAAACAGAGCGGTTGATGTTCCGAACACAACTGAAATGATCAGCAGTGAGTTGTTTATGTATTTTTTTTCTCCATTAGTATTGTAATATTACAATGCGCATACGGATACCAGAATATTTTACGGGATTATTGAGTTAGTGGTAATTTGTTACTATTTTTGTTTCTTGTCGTATTTCTTGGAACGAATATGTAAGCTGAAGCCTAGATAATAGATAAACATAAACATCGCCACCTACTTTGAAGACATACGGTGGAATTCTCAAAATTATTTGCATCGTTTCTTTGGACACAGAAGAAATATGGTACAATGCCTTTTGACCAGTACATCAAGTGTGTGTAGCAGCAGAACTTCCTACGCATTCCCTAAAGCTATTTATTTCCAAATTAAAATAAATCTAAAAAAAAAAACCCAAATTATTTCTTCAAAATACAAACTTTTTGATTCGTAAGTGGTAGAATGTGTTCCAAGCATGTACGTGACTACCGTCACCAACTAAACTCTCCGCAGGGATAAAATAATTGACTACATTAGATGGCCGCACGAACTTAGGGTCCACATTGAAGATTTAAGAGGTTACCGGATCTGATGACACCGCCATCCAAAGATACGAAGATTAAGTTGCAATTCTATATTAAGCACTTTTTTATTGCCCATGTAGGCAGACGAGCATACGGCCCACCTGATGGTGAGTGGTTACCGTCGCCCATGGACTTCAGCAGTACTAGGGGCAGAGCCAAGCCGCTGCCTACTGTTGAAAGCAAGTAGCCATCTGCAATTCTGATTACGAAAATTGACTCAAAAATAGGATATTTCGTTTGGACAATAATTTGTAATTTGACACTGTTAATATCAATCAGCTTATCGATTCGAGTTTATTTATCTCGCGAGGATCTTCATGCTTGTCGGACTGTACGCTGCAAACTTACCGCAAGACAGAGCTAAGTTGAGCATGAGTGACATCTTCGATACGGCCTTGCCAATTCTACACCCACTTATAGAAGCTGGATCGAACAGATGTGAGTTGTAATGACGTAATATTATATGTCTTTTTGTGTCAAATCATGTATGTACCGATTGAAAAATATTGATTTAATATTTATCTACAATCGGTAAGTACCAGTAACCACGGTTAATTTATTATTGTTTTATTATGTATTTATTTATAATCGGTAAATATACCACGGTTGATTTATTTGGCTTAGATCTTTTTTGTCCCAGTGATAGTTGTCTGAACAAGATTGAGGATAAGACCGCCCACTGTACTTTTGCATTTGTTTTCATTTCATTCATTTGGTTCATTCTATTCGAAATTGTGCGTTGAGAATTCAGGAGTGATGCGGCGACGTCATATTTAGTTCAGCCTTGATCATATGTGAGAGAGAGAGAGAGAGAGATCCGATTTGAATAGATTTCGTTTCGATTGTTTCATGAGTTGACAGTTATAAGACCTCAACGTTACATCCATTGTGTGTGGTTGTTCACACTGTGACGTCAGTCAATACCGTTAGCAAAACAAAGCGAATTTTTTTAGGGCATCTTTACGATGTTAAGGTATATTTAAGGTACCCTTCGTATTTCTACCTCGAATTAGGACTTCAATTCGAAGAATGGGACAACCGTTATACAATATTTTGATCTCATGTCATCTATTTTAAGATGGATTTCGAAATTCAGGTCGCCGCGTCTATGCGCTTCGGTAACCATTTAATACTGGGTAAGCTGTAATCTTGACTCCGTATTGAGCATTAAAAAACATAACGGCTGCTATTTTTCAGGCGAAACTTTAAAAAGCTTCTTTGGCTTAACTTATCAGCAAATGTTGGAGAAAAACGCCACAGTAGAAGAACTATCAATCGATTTGATTACGAAGAACGGAAATATTAAGTATAATCTTACAGCCACTTCGAGACTGAAGAGGTTTTTGGGCAGCGACAAACAAATTATCGTATTAGTACACGGCTTTAGGGAAAGCTCTGATGGATGGATGGTCGGAGGCGTAGCACCGGAATTACTCAAAGTCGCGGGTTTGAAAATCCTTGCTTTGGATGGAAGGAAAATTATCAATTTGGAGTATTTCAGATCATCAACTTATACAAGGTTTATGGGAGAACAATTGGGGATATTTTTGAGTGAAATAATTAAGGGTAAGTACATACACCACATATTTAAAATGAAATGCTCAAATGGATATATATATACTTAATTTTCGCTGTTGTTAGAACGTCTTGTCCATACGGGTAGGTTACAACATGCCCACACTCACGGCCTATTTCAACCGGGAGTTAGTAATGGGTTTCGGTTTGAAGAGGGAACCAGCCGTTCTATAGAACTATGACTTAGAACACGTCTCAAGATGGCGGTTTTTACGTTGTTGAATTCTCTGAGCTTTAGTAACCAATTAATTTATGTAAAAAAGTCTTAATTGGACGTAATTAAATCGTCACTAACACTTATATAGTTAGACTAGCTGGTACCTGCAACTTCGCCGGAGTGGTCAAGGAAAAGTGTTTAACCTTTCATTAATAATAAAAAGGAGGGGATTAAACTACAAAGTCTTAGTCAGACGCAGCTTAGAAACTCTAGTATTTGAAATAACAGAAAATATAATTTATTATTTGCGTTCATTCACGCAAGCACAATTATGTGTACATTTTTTAATTGCTACGGTAATAGACGAGCGCATGTCTCACGTGATGCGTGATGGTTATTAGTTACCGTCGTTCATGGAGATAGGCAATGCGACGAGCACAGCGAAGCCTCTAATTTTTGCAGTATAATTTAAATTTTTCAAATTTCAATTTCAACGATACACAAGACAACACATACGCAACGAGAAAAATATACAATCGCCATAGATCGCAATACCAATTATATTTAACTTATGTGCTTAATCAGATTCACGCCGAGACCGGAGTTCCAAATTAGATTACAACAATGCCACCAGAGTAGAGTTCATCTATATTACCTAGAACCACTGCGTTCATCCATAGAGCGTTTCCAATGATCTTTTTTACCACGAACCATCTGGCTTTGGAATGAGCTCCTCTCTACGGCGTTTCCCGAGTGCTATGACATGTCCTTCTTCAAACGAGGCTTGTGGAGAGTACTTAATGGTAGGCATCGGCTTGGCTCTTCCCTGGTATTGCTGACGTCCATGGGCGACGGTAACAATTCACCGTTAGGTGGGAAATACTCTCCTGTGCCTAGTTGGCTAAGAAAAGGTAGTGTTTATGATTAGTACAATTCCCGACAACAGATGGTGTGGATCCAATGAAAATATACCTGATCGGTCATAGCCTTGGGTCGCACATTGCCGGGATTGCCGGAAAAAAAGTCCAGCAGCAAACTGGGCGGCTTGTCGGTCGGATCACGGCTCTGGACCCTGCCGGGCCGTGCTTCGGTAACGTAGACCCGTCCGGCAGGATCAGTCGCCAGGATGCGGTGTACGTCGATGTCATCCACACTAACGCTGGCCTACTGGGACTGAAAGAGCCTGTAGGTAAATTTTTTTGAAGACGATTTGTTCTTATACAGAAATTTTGAAGCATTCATTGGAGCTATTTTTACTGGTGGTAGGATCTCTTGTGATTACTGCCTGCAGTGATTGTAATTACCCCCGCCCTGCCTATTTCTGCCGTGAAGCAGTAATGAGTTTCGGTTTGAAGGGTGGGGTAGCCGTTGTAACTATACTGAGACCTTGGAACTTATATCTTAAGGTGGGTGGCGCATTTACGTTATAGATGTCTATGGGCTCCAGTAACCACTTAACACCAGGTGGGCTGTGAGCTCGTCCACCCATCTAAGCAATAAAAAATAAAATAAAAAAAAGATCCACAGGATTCGTCGTGAAAATTAACCCACAGACACAGTTCACTCAGTTTCTCCCCGGATTTTCTCGGTGGGCCGCGATTCCGATCCAGTGGTAGTTTCAGCGAAGCGATACCATTGCTAGGGCTAGTATTAGCTAATTCGCGAGGTTCAGCCCTGTGAGCTTGCCTATACGTGCGATGAATTTAACATAGCCCTCGAAGCTACTAATATAGGTGGGCAAATTAAAAAATATAATACTTTAAAAGTCTATTAATGGTAGAGCTACATATACAAGATAACAATAGTAAAACCGATACTTGATTGGACTTGGCTGGGTGGTGGCCTAATAAAAAAAAAAATTAAATATTAAAATAAAAATTCTAAGGCCTAATAAAAATTCAAACCGAAACGCATTTCTGCTTCACCGCAGAAATAGGCGGGGCGGTAGTACCTACCCGCGCGGATTCACAAGAGGTCCTACCACCAGTCATTACACAAATTAAAATTTGCGGGTTTCATTTTTATTACACGATGCTATTCCTTCACCGTGGAAGTCAATCGTGAACATTTGTTGAGTACGTATTTCATTAGAAAAATTGGTACCCGCCTGGGATTCGAACACCGGTGCATCGCTCAATACGAATGCACCGGACGTCTTATCCTTTAGGCCACGACGACTTCTCTTTTGTATAATTTTTAGGTGATAAGGACTTTTACCCAAATGGGGGCATGACTCAGCCCGGCTGTATTCTGTCAACCTGCGATCACAGCAGAGCTTGGGAGTTCCTTGCGGAGTCTGTGAATTCAGCAAAACATTTTCCAGGTAGTATTGGTTTAATAATATTCAGCTTACCACCTGTGTAACTTTACTGAACCTAATAATTGAATGTAGGATTGCGCTTTTTTAATGTAAAGCAAAGGTATCTTGCACATCATCCTCTGCGCTATAACTACGAATGTTGTTATTGGGAACTTGCATTGCAAGATTTGTTTTGTATTGTGGATAATGCAATAAAGTTTTTTTTTTCGGTATTACTCTGATAGGGATAGAACTTTACGAACTTGACTTTAGAATGTTACGGTTTCTTGAGATCTTGAGCTTGAGGTCTGGTTAAAATCCGTTAAAGAACGCAATCGGGGCTTTAAGCTCATATGGCATGGTTTTTTTTATGATTGAAAGATTACTAGCAGCCCGAAGGTCTTTCCAGTTTCACCAGGACAGGTGGGCGAGCAAAGGCTCAGCCAGGAGTGGTGGGATTTGCTAACAACTGCTCGAGCGCCTCCGAAGAAGACCTAACAACTCAAGAGCAATTGCTTCGCGAATGAATCTACTACCGAATTGGAATCGCGACCCGCTGAGAAGATCCGGCGAGAAACTCAGCGGGCTGATGCATGGGTTAGGTTGCACATCGACCTCTTTGTCGAGTTCGACGAGTACGGTTACTGGGGTCCCTAAGCCTGCTCCTACTATTAGAGCTGAAGGCGTCTAATGCAAAGGTTATTGGATCTGATGGATCCGTAAGGACGTGTCTAGGACGTCGACGGTGACTGGCTCTTGCATGATCAGGATTCGGGGAGTAGGCAGCGGCGGTAACGATAAGGCGATTATCATGACGATATGGCATGGTCATATGGCACGGTCTATATGGCATCATTCACGGTATTTTGATGATGAGCTTAGATAACCATTCAAACCATTATACGCACACGAGTAAGTATAACTATCCACGGGAATAAACTAATTTAAAAATACGGCCATAATATCCTTTAAATGCTATTTATATCGAAGAAAAAAAAAACGGATTATGTAAGTTACTTAGCTGATAACCAGGAAAAATCGTTAAATTTTAACAACAAGGAAGTGCGGTGTTGTACTAGATAATGATGGTTCATTTTAATGTTACATTTTTTATGTTATTCATTTATGAGCGCGAAATGGGGGTGCTCGACAGAATAGGGTTGCGATGTTAATATCGATATTAGCTAATTATAGCTATAGTGAATATATAGCTATATACTTATAGTAGAAGTGGACTGGCCTAGTCGAGTCTTAATAGACTACACTAGACTTAATAGACTAGACTACTCGATAAAAGTCAACAAGAATAATTCAATTTTTATATGGCTTATGTTACTTCCAAGAAAGTCCCCAACATATTTCATGCACAATTGCTATGCGATTTATCTATTAATAATTCGATTATTGATTTTTTTATAAGGATATATATATACATACAGGAGGAATATGTCCGATGTTTTTGTATTTATATATTGTGTATGCAAAGCCCTAACAACAATTTTAAAATGCAACATCGAATATAGAAATGGTGACGCGTTGCAACTTTTCAACATGTCTTTGTACAAGCAAGAGTGAGCGGCAATATCACGTCGTCTCCCTTGCACGTTGACGGATTTGACGTCACGAACCATTATGTACTATGTCCTTATTATTTTCGACAATAACAAACTAGATTAAAACATTTTAACCTCATTTCCGAACATAATATATAAAACTGCTGCTTTTGATTTAGACGCACAAAACGTTTTGATGATAGAAAAATATAAAATTAATCAACACATTACACGAATGCACACACATACAAGTCTTACCTGTACCACGTGCTTCTCATAAAGTGTATTTTCCGACTGATATTTTATGGTTAGTTTAAATCGAAAATAATTTTTCTTTTGACAGCAAGGAAATGCGAGAATTGGACATCGTTCAAAGAAGGTTTCTGTTCTAAGAATTCGGTATCGTATATGGGACTGGAATCTAAGGCTGGAGATCCCGGGCTGTATTTCTTCACAACTGCCGCATCATCACCGTTCGGGCTAGGACCAACTGGTAGCGGATAAAGTTTTATTTTAATTTACATTAAATAACAATTAAATACGTTCTGATATTTGTTTTCATTTATTAATTAGGCTATCGCGTGGCTCTACGTAAACTTCAGCACATTTATCTGTGCAAATGACATCACGGGGATTGACTTTTTTAAATAACTAAACTTTGCAGATTTTTTAGCTTCTGGAGCTTTTAGCTTCAAAAAGCATACCGACTATCATTCAATCCCTGGATTACTGCTGTAATTCCTGCTGTAATCCAGGGATCGATTGTCGGTCAGTTGTTGTCGGCTGCTGCCAGTGTGTATCAAATCCGATAACCACTTAGCACTAAATGAGCCGTAAGTTCGGTTGACCCATCAAATAAGCAAACTCAGCTTTATTCTTTGTTGAATATAATCGCTTTTCACCAAATCCACGGGAAGAAATAGGGTGATGCTATTCCGGGCGAAGGCTAACATTCATCACAACACTTTGTTTACTAATAAATTCAATAAAATGTTATTACCAAACTATATAGTACAACTTTATCTTATGTTATTACCAAACTAGTACAACTTTATCTTAGTTTCCTATGAGGTTTCTTTTTTTTATTTGAAAAAATTGTAGAGATTCAAACATAAGTTTCACGAAAATTAAAAATTTGCCTCTCGTTAAATCAAAATAAACTATTAGTTAGTAGATATCATGTTTTAAGTTTGTATATATAAATCGTCACAGGTTATAAAAACAATATTACATCATACGACAGCTACTTATATAAACAGCGTAAACAGAGATATACTACTTTACTTGGAAGTGTCGTGACGACGAACTCGGTACAAGTGACGAAAAGGCGATTTTCTCGGGAATAGATACTTCCAGTAAAAAAGAGGTAAGTGTATATATACTATACTTATGTAAAAATAAAACGAAATTCAATTCAATATAAACAAGCAAAGGCGTTGAAAATCCGAGAATATGCATAATATGACGGCGTTAACGATATTTCTGTTTAGCACGTGCAATAGGAGTGACTCACACAAGCCAGGTGCGCCGGCCGTGTCGTTCGACTCGTAAACAACAGGTGCGACAGAAGTGACTCATAAATAAGCCAGCTGCGCCGGCCAGTATAAAAAGGCGGTACGTGCCTCGCAATGGAGCTCAACCGACTTGAGGGTGAGCTGGCGACTAAGATGCGGACTTACCGGGGTGATTCCTGGGAGGGGGGACTGTTGGACGCGTCCGACGACCGTACGATGGCCCCCCTTCACCGCATCTGTCGCCGGCTCACCAACAAGCCTTCCCCCACTTGCCCCTTGGAGGACGAGGGGGGAAGACGGTGTTTTACACCGTTGGNTAAACCGAACCTTTAATCTTCTTCTTCTATATAATAATATATAAAAATGAATTGCTGTTCGTTAGTCTCGCTAAAACTCGGAAATGGCTGGACCTATTTGGCTAATTTTGGTCTTGAATTATTTGTGGAAGTCCAGAGAAGGTTTAAAAGGCAGATAAATATGAAAATGCCCGGAATTAAATAAAAATAACAATTTTGTTTTCCCTTTGATGTGTCCTCCGTCGGACGGATTTCATTTGTTTGTTTCAATTTTATTTTATACAAACGTTTAGGTCTTTTATTTATAGATTGAGGAACTACGAAGTCTGCCGGGTCAGCTAGTTATCAATAAAACATAGATTTTATTGACATTAAAGTTTCTTTATTGCATCTAAAATTATCTTTTATATTCCTATATGTGTATAATGCTCGAATCTACCCATTTTAAGGGAAGATTCGAACATAATATTGAAATGTTCACGAATAGTATGTCGTCAATTTAGTCGTCTGTTACCACGAAAAATGTAAAATATTGGGAACTTAGGAAATAATCAAATGAAAAAATAAACGTCATCTTTTAATTATGTCTCAGGAATACCAAAGAAAAATACTATACTGTTTTTAATTTAATGCGTCGGATTATTACTTTATGATTACTGGTTGCCCGGAGGCTTTTCCCGTTTCAGTGGAACAGGTGGGCGAGCAAAGGCTCAGCCAGGAGGAAGCGTCGGCATGACGAAAGTTGAAACCAATATCGCACCTAAGCACAGGCTTGTAAAGTTGAAAATCGGACTTCGTTTTATCGTCCGATGGTGCCTCTGAGGTATGACTTAATTTGAGAGTTTTTCAATAATAATTCAATAATTAGCTGTCCACTGAAATCAATATGAAACCAACAAGTCAATTTTACTCTTAAAATTTTTGGCACATTATGGTATTATTAAAATTTGTTATAATAAAAATGAAGTATGTTTGATACTTTAAAGTAAAAGTTCTAAAGATTTCGTGAGAGCTTAAAGTTTTCGAAGCATCATTGGGTTCAAATTATGTTGTCTTTTTATTAACAAATTTTCGGCTTGGTTATATAATTCATAATTCACCAGTCTCAACAATGTTCCCGTCTAGGCAACGCTTTTGGTAAGAGTAGTGGACGATTTCGCGGTCCACCTGTTTTTTTTAATGAATGAGGGATTAATGGTGGCCCAGAGGCCTTTCCAGTTTCACCAAGACGGGTGGGCGAGAAAAGGCTCAGCCAGGAGGGGTAGGATTTGCCAACAGCCGCCCGAGTGCCTCCAAAGTTGACCTAACAACTCAAGAGCAACTGCTTCGCGAATGGATCTACTACCGGATCGAAATTGCGATCAGCTGAGAAGATCTAGCGAGAAACTCAGCGGGCTGATGAATAGGTTAGGTTGCACATCGAACTCTTTGCTGAGTTCGATGACTGGTGTAAAGCTTACTTAAGCCCATACAAGTCAACAACATAAATACCGCCACCCACCTTGTGACACTAGTTGTAAGCCTCAGTTTTATAGTACAACAGTTACCCCACTCTTCATCAGAAACATATTACAGCTTCATAGCAGAAATAGGCAGGGCGGTGGTACCTACACGTGCGGGCTTACAAGACGCTCTATCACCGCTAATTACGCAATTTATTATTTTTGCGAGTTTGATTTTTTATTACACGATGTCATTTTTCAATAATTAGTATCTGCCTCCAGGATTTGAACACCGGTCCAGATAGTTCTATACGAATGCACCGGACGTCTTATCCTTTAGGCCACGACTACTTCTTCTTTCGGCAAAATAAGATTCATTTTCCAATAAAAAAGATACATAAAAAACGTTTTATTCAAGATTCCATGACGCATACCGGATCTACATCAATATTCCTGATGTAGCGAAAATTGAAGTCATTTTCGAACTTGTAAACCCCACTCCTTACTAGGATTATCAAGTAGCAATGCAAACCTGCAAAACGCAAATGGACATTAAAATATTGAGGTGGATATTCAGTGACTGGAGGTAGTTATAGAATAACAATGAGACTTTGATCTCATGTGTTGAGGTGGTGACCGCTTTTAAGGTTAAATAGACTGTAGAAAACCAGAGGTCTGTTTTATACCTACCTAATCGCTGGTAATCTAAAGGGCTATTCCAGCTACGCCTGGACGGGGAGGTGAGATCACTGTATGTCCAAGAGAACGGTAACCGGTGCTTAGAGAGCCTAAAAGTATAGAGAGTGGACCAAAAGAATCCGATAAGACATGTTTAAGACAACGGCGATTTTGCATTGCTTCGTCGTCTGGGTCGGTCAAGAGGTACCGTCAACCGTAAACCTTTAAATCTCGACAAATTCTCCAACCTGGTGGTAGGACCTGTTGTAAGTCCGCGCGGGTAGGTACCACCGCCCTGCCTATTTCTGCCGTGAAGCAGTAATGCGTTTCGGTTTGAAGGGTGGGGCAGCCGTTGTAACTATACTGAAACCTTACAACTTATATTTCAAGGTGGGTGGCGCAATTACGTTGTAGATGTCTATGGGCTCCAGTAACCACTTAACACCAGGTGGGCTGTGAGCTCGTCCAACCATCTAAGCAATAAAAAAAATATATATATTTTTTCTCTAGAACATACGCTACAAAGTATGGGTCTATTTTGAGCAGAGGGATGAGTTTCCAAACTAGCCGTGATAACTAAAGTATAGATTACGATTAGGTTTTTTAAATATTAACTAGCTGACCCGGCAGACTTCGTAGTGCCTCAATCGATAAATAAAAGACCGACTGGGGACACATCAAAGGAAAAACAAAATTGTTTTTTTATTTATTTAATTCGAAGCATTTTCATATTTATCTACCTTTTAAACCTTCTCTGGACTTCCACAAATAATTCAAGACCAAAATTAGCCAAATCGATTCAGCCGTTCTCGAGTTTTAGCGAGACTAACGAACAGCAATTCATTTTTATATATAGTGATAAAGATAACAAACACTTACTAGTATCTAGAATGTAGACCACAGATGTGGATATAATTAAATCATTATCATACCAATGGTTTAAGGACACCATGAAGAGTATAATAAACAAAACGAAGAGTATTGTTAAGGCCACTAACAAACCTATCATGTAATAATAATAGGCCTGCATTGCTTTCCTGCTTTTCTGAAACAGTACGTAACAACATTTTAGTATGACTGAATATTGAGTGACTTAAGTAACACCTTTTTTATTGCCTCAGACAGGAAGACAAGTGTTATCTTGCATCTAGTATTCAGTGGTAACCGAAAAAAGCTAAGTTGCCAAAACAAGCAACGATCATGATTATTCTTGGTCATTTAGAATAGTAATCTTCAATCGAAATATAGATTGATAATCACCTTATGAGCAGAAACAATGAAGACTATACTAAAAACTAAATCTGTCACTAATACCGATATTGACAGTATGACAATCAATAACGTTACTACGTCAAATCCATTTTCCATTTTAAGCATTACAACCATCCACGCCAACGGCATAAAAGCTGTTCCAATGAGGACCACGGCCGAGACCTAAAAAAAACCCAACACGTAAATATGCTTTTTGAATTCTTCACGTTAAGATAAATTTCCTTAGCTTCGGGCTGATTAAACCAAACTAGATTAATTTACTAACAGTAATTTCAAAAGTTCCGTCACTAACTTTTCAGATTTGTTATCAGATAAATTCTATAATCATATTATGTCTGTAGAGCAGCCAAGATTCACGCGACATCAATAAATTGTTCTTCGATCGCCCTCTGTATACACTAAAGATGCATTTCGTTTATTTTAAAACAGAATCTTCAAATTCTCTCTATAACTAATTCAGATTTTAACGAATATTTAAAAACAAATCCATTTATTGATCACAAAGCGCTTTTATGGGAATGCTTCGAGAAGATGTAAATGTTATTTTTTTCTTTACCTAATTATTAGTAGCCTATTAGGGCTATTCTTGCTACACGCGGACGGGTGAGCCCACGGGCCTAGCCTGAAAGAGCTTGCTAACAAGAGCAGTGACTCACCGAATCATACCACCGGATCGGAATCGCGATCCACTAAGAAGATCCGGCGAGAAACTCAGTGGGTTGCGTCTATGGGTTAAAGAAAAAACTCTTTCATGAGTTCGACGAGAACGGTGCTCCAAGAGTGGACCAGGAGGATCGAAGGACATTTATGGCGATGGCGGCTTTGCGTTGCTCCGTCACCTGGGAGGATATGTAGTAAAAGGTCACCACGCCAACAAGCTTTGGACATGATACTTTCGTTTCGATTCACTACCAAACTACCTGCCACCGTACTCACCAGTTTAACTCCCCGCTACGGTATTTCTGGAGCGCTACAAAATGTCTTCCTTCAAACATGACAGTATTTTATAATTCTACACCCAATTATACCTTTTGTAATAATTTTATTGGGTACTATGCGCCATTACCTCCAGAATTGCCTGTGTTCTGCCACTTTCCATCAGGTGAACTGAACGCTCGACGTTTGATAAGGTAATGATAAAAGAAAAAAGAAGAAAAAAGAAAAAATAAAGGAAAAAAAAACGCAGTTTTGACGCAGATACTTCCATCATAATTGATTCACTATATTATTGAACTAGCTTTTTCCCGTGACTTCGTCCGCGTGGAATAGTTCACAAATAATGCTTTATTTTAGAAAAAATTTGGTTAGCATAAAAAACGTTATAGTGATAGAGTCAACCTTAACATATAGACATATGCTGTCGCGGACTTTTTTAGATCTTTTAAAGAATAACAATTCTGTCATACATTATTTTAGCGAAAGTTTAATCGTTTCTGCAGCGCACGCCAGCGGAAACTTTCAAAAAGTAAAAATAACTCCGATTCTAAAACATTATTTATTGGTGCTCCGCTGGAATTGGTATTAGCGTGATTTTATATAGCCCATAACCTTCCTCGATAAATGGGCTATCTAACACTGAAATAATTTTTCAAATCGGACCAGTAGTTCCTGAGATTAGCGCGTTCAAACAAACAAACTCTTCAGCTTTATAATATTAAGTATAGATAAGGCTCTATTTATACGTCAGCTTAAATAAGATAAAGCTTCACAAACATTTTAGACGCGAGAGTTTAAGCTTGCACAGTGTCGTGAGCTAATATGATTCCATGGTTTTGCGAGGAAAGTCTTCAATAGTTAAAGTTTCCAACGCTCCACTTAGGCTAATAAAATATTGTGACGTGTAATAATCTAATTACATTTTACACGAAGTAATGTATCAAATATTCCACAAAGGTTTGAAAGAATGGCGATATTTTAGGAAAGTAGTAATTGTTTTGCAATGGTAAACTAATTATTGACTACGGGAACAAAAATTATTCTTATATAAATAATTTTTTTTACAGATTTGCATTAAGAACAAAAGCATTTTCTTCTTCAATATTAATGTCACATACAATATTCTGCCATATCGTTGTTTTAAATTAAATATTGATTTGCTTTACCCAATTAAAAGCTGCGAAGAGACTAGTGATTTAGAATAACTTGTGGTTAAGTCGTAGGTTTAAATACGATGGGGCCACAAACTTTGACCATATATCAATTTAAACAAACTATTTGTAAACTACTTGATCTGTTCATAGCAATACCCTTTCATAGCAATTTTATCATTTTTAAATCCCCGCCACCGAATTGAGTTCGTTCCAATAACCTGGAACCTCCGCTTCAGTCAGGATGTGATCAACAAATCTTTTAACTATATATACAAGCAATCGGACTGTGGAATCTGCACTGCAGTGTTTTTCTACAGTATATAACTATATATCCTTTATTCGACGAGTTAGAAATCCCACAGACACAGCCCACTGAGTTTCTCGTCGAATCTTCTCAGTGTTTCCGATTCTGCGAAGCACTGCTCTTGCTAGGGTCAGTGTTAGTATCACTCTGTTTTGAGCCCCGTGAGCTCACCTACTAGTTAAGGTTACGCTGATATAGCCTCTTACGGCTATGTATCAGTTTAGGTAGGAAAAAAACAAAAAGTTACAAGTAATTCCTGCGCGTTGGCAGTCGGTCTCCCGTTGTGATATCACGGGCTCTGATATCTACTTAATATTAGAAAAGCCGTCAGCACGTCTACAAAGGATTTCTAAATAGAGCCACATCCCTGAGAAGAAACGACAGAAAAAACCGGTCTTGTAAATTAAATTGATACATATACATTGAACAAGACATTACTTTTATAAATTTGAATTTTCGTTCCTGAAAATTGTTGAAGTCTGCTAACAGATGGCGTTGTTTTCACAACAATAACAGTCTGTCAAGACATTTTCACATTTTTCTTTTAATTAATAATCGACAAGCACAAGTGGTTCTTAGCAAATTTGTAATCTCATATCAGAATCATCGAACTTCAACTGCAAACACGCTAAAGATATTCCGCCAAAATGCGACTAACAAGTTTCCTTACTCACCAATTTTAGGTAGCCACAAAAAAGCAAACCCATTCTCAATGGAATACAACAGCAGCATTTTTGCAAATAAGGACACTCGCAACGAAATTTGTTTCTCAACAATTCATATCTACTCACGTTTTCCATATTTTAACATTTTAAAACGGCCACAAACAAACACGTTTTAGGGTGTCGTCACCTTTTGTAAGTCTAAAAAAAGACTGACAGTCGTATCCGTCTATGTAAGTACATATATGATAGCTGAGATATTAAAGTATCGATTGCTCGAATATAGTGCAGAAAGTAATGGCAAACGCCTGATGGAATTCTCGAAGCGTGATCTTGTAGATTTTGCTATTAAATGAGTAATTCTAACATGTCATTTCATTTCTAGTCTTTAATTTAGTAGCGTAACGTAATAATAATAAAACATTTATTTCAGAAAAAATCCATAAAATAATAATAATACAATAGTCAGCACACAAACAGTTCAACAATACAAATAGAAAATGAACAATATACTAATTCAATTAATTAAATATACAAAGGAAATGAATTAGAAACACATAATTATATCAATACAGTAGTAACCACTCTATGTAAATACTAGCTATCATTATGTCAATCAGTCAATTAATTTGGAGAAAAAATAAAATAAAAAGAAAATCATACACATTTCATAATGAAGAGTAAAATAAAATGGTGGTTTATAAAAAAAAATGTTAACTCTTGAAGACATTAAATTTAGTATTCAAATAAATTTAGAATGGAATTAGAAATTGATAAAAGTAATTGAAAAAAAATGAAAAAAAGTAATTATAAACTGTTTCACCATTACATAGGTTTTAGCAGTACATTTTTTTCCAATACATATTTGAAGAAGCTTACGACCCATCTAATTTTAATAAGTCACTGGAGCCTAAAGACATCCTCGACGTAAATTCCGCCACCCCTTGGGACATGAATTCTAAGTGGTCCCTCAATTGTATTTCAGCCATCTTTCTCATCAAACCAGAATGCGCGATTGCTTCGTAGCAGAAATCGGCTGGCTAGTGGATTCCCACTTTTTTTTTATTTAATGCATAGATGGGTGGAGCTCACAACCCACCTGGTGTTACGTGCTTACTGGAGCCCATAGACCTCTACAATGTAAATGCTGCCACGCACCTGGTGGTATGGGTTCTAAGGTCTCAGTAGAACACCTTCAAATCGAAACGAATTACTGCTTCACGGCAGAAATAGGCAGGGTGGTGGTATCTACCTGTGCGAACTGACAAGAGGTCCTACCACCAGTAAACCTGGTACCAATTGTGCGAGTTTACAATAAAGTACCATCTTATTTATTTCCGTTGTAAAATAGTCACGTCATGCGTTCAGTAGACGCATAAAATCGTTTATCTATCTACCTATATAAAATAAAAGTTACAGTGATTTATGCCAGAGGAATTAGCACACCTTTGACCCCTTCGTGACCCGACCACTTCTATTTACGGTCACAAAATTCAAAAGGTCAACGAATATGACTGCATCCTATATTTTAAGATCGTCTTATGGCCACTTATCCCAGACTCCACCTTTTAAATGACCCGTTCTACTAAGTATGTTTGTGGCCACTTTGCCGGACAATTACCCTATTAAAGTGGATACATTTGAGGAAGTAGCCACGTATCACAGTCATTATATATGACGAAAGCAATTGAAGTTAACCGAGAGAAATGAGTTGATTTTAAAGAATTGTAAGTGCTATATAGAATTCATATTTAGGTTCTCAAAAGCTGATTAAGTTTTATCTGTTGTCTGTTTGATACTTTGACACCAAGATAATCTGTAGAGCACACACGCACATACACACACACACTCAAACATACAAAAAATATATCCCAAACGTTCAACACAAATTATGGCTTACCCATAACGGTAATCTTTTCTTTTAAGCTTTCGTGAATATTTCAATCTTATCATACTATTTTTTTTTACATTTCTTTTTTTCCAGTAAACTTTCAAGACTCTTTGTTTTATAGTAAATTTATTCTCCTTATCCAATGAAAGATATTAAATTCGGTATTTTTACAGAAGAAAAAAAGATAATGATAAATTAAAAAAATGTCATAGGTAAATTTAAAATACTCGAAAAACCAAAAAAGTTTATTAACTTATGTTATGATATAAATTATTTGCAAAATGTCTTTGACATTCGTCTCACGCAGGAAAATAAAGAACAGAAGCATTAATTTAAAATTAATATCCTTAGTTTTCTTCTTCATGAAGGTCCTTCGCCTCTGTTGAGTTGGACCTCTATATTTGGTACATGATTCACATAATTAATGTCTCCGTGATACCGCAACTTAGATAATTCACTCCGCACTAGGAGAATCAAATATATTTGTATCACTGAAAAGAAATTTTAATTACTATAGTAATAAGTACTATAGTCAACTTATAAGTTGACTTCGCTGTGTCTTGGGCATTTCAATATCGACGTGCGATGAATTTCAGGGTAAATAGAAAATATTGGACTGGACCCAATCCATTAACGGTGCTTTTAGGTACCACAAGCACCGGTCACCGTCCTCGCCGAACCCGTCGATTCGGACGGATACAAACAGTAGATGTGAAAGGTAATAGATCTTCAGGTACCTTGTTGAAAATGGGTGTACCTCAGGGTTCCATTTTGGGTCCTTTTTTATTTCTAATATATATAAACGATTTGCCTAGTTTTATTGAGTCCCGACACGAGGTCGTATTATTCGCAGATGATACATCTTTATTATTTAAAATTAAACGACAATTACAAGTCTATGACGAAGTGAATGATGCGATTTCGTGTGTGGTTCATTGGTTCCGTATCAATAACCTATTATTGAATAGTAAGAAAACTAAATGTATTAAATTTACTTTAAAATGTATTAAACCATCTTTAAATGTGAGACAAGTGGATAGTGATGTAATTGTTTCTGAGGAATCATTGGAGCTTGTTGAGTCAACCGTATTTCTTGGTATAACAGTGGACTCCAAACTGCAATGGGGACCTCATATTCATAAATTGGCGAGTAAGCTCAGCTCTGCAGCATACGCAGTAAAAAAAATTAGAATGTTAACAAACGCGGACACGGCTCGTTTAGTTTACTTTAGTTACTTCCACAGTGTCATGTCCTATGGCATTTTGCTATGGGGCAATGCGGCCGATGTAGAAACGATATTTATTCTGCAGAAAAGAGCTATACGCGCTATTTATAACATGCACTCAAGGGAATCCCTGAGGGAGAAATTTAAAGAAATTAAAGTTCTCACTATGCCATCCCAGTACATTTTTGAAAATTTGATGTATGTTCGTAAACATATTGAGGAGTTTCCTAAAAAGTCGGACATACATAATAGAAATACTAGGAACAAACACAAGCTTGTTGTGCCGATGAGTAGGTTACATAAGATACGAAATTCATTCGGGTGTTTGTCTGTGCGCCTGTACAACAAAATCCCACAAGATGTTCAGAACCTACATATACATAGGTTTAAGAAAACTGTTAAAGAACATCTGTGCAATAAAGCTTACTATAAAGTCAATGATTATCTAGAAGATTGCACAAAGTGGGAATGAGTTGCTCGCTCCGGGCATTTCAATATTGTAGTAATTGTTACGTTATAATACTCATTGTAAAAAACTCATATTTAAAAAAAATAATGTAATATTAAAAAATTAATAAATAATAATTTATTAAAAAAAAAAAAAAAAAAAAAAAAAAACATGCCCGCTGAGTTTCTTGCCAATTCTTCTCAGGACGGAGGCTAGTTCTTGTGAATTGGCGGTAGTTCTTTTGACGTTCAACAAGTATGTACTTTCATTTATGTTGAATAAAATTTTTTTGATTTGATTTGATTTGATTTGATTGCGACGAAGGGCTCGACGAGCGAATTAACCCATAGACACAGCCCACTGAGTTTCTCGCCGTATCTTCTCAGTGGGTCGCGTTTCCGATCCGGTCTTAGATTCTGCGAAGCACTGCTCTTGCTAGGGTCAGTGTTAGCAACACTCCACCTACAAGTTGGGCGAAGCTGAAGCCTCTCAAGGCTATCAGCATAGGTGGGAGAGAAAAAAGGACTGGATTAAATTCTCGTAATAAGAAACAGTAGTTTACGTTACAGCTGGGGAATCCTAATAGGTACTAATAGTCCGAAACTACACAGGTACTATAAATTTGTCGAAACCTAAAACCATTCAATCTACTAATTCCGGTTCGGGAGAACAGTGGTACTAAAAAAAAGTCTCCATGCTTAGGAAGTATCTGTACAATATTCTTGCTTAGTAGATGAATATTATTTTCCATACCTTATATTTTCTTAATTTGTCGGCATAGATACTTTAAATAGGAGGTCATAAGTATTTACAAAATGAAAACCTAAAACGCTGTCTTGAATATGTAGATTCGAGTTTCCAGATTCCATGGACACAAGACGCTGGTGCCGTCATAATATTTTTATATAAGGTGTAAAAAGGAATCTTTTATTGTAACAGACAACAATCTACCTTAATATAGCTACTATACTGCATTGTGGGTTTCGTAAAACACGAGATAAAATGTAAACGCCTGCCTCAAGTTACTCCACGGGGTTTACCTTTACTAATTATCCATTTACTACCATTACTACTACTACGACTACTACCACTGCTACTTAACCTATAAACGCTAGGATAATTCTGAGTAGCACTAAAAAATGGGGAAAAAAACTCACCAAATCCACAGAATATAGTAGCATAGTCCAAAGGAATGAATTGCATAGGAGTATTTATTGAGATATCTATTATAAAAATGGCGATACTAGCCAAAATTGTTGCTATTGAGTAGTAATAAAATAATTGGATTAAGAACGGACGTTTCTGCAAGAATTGAAGTACATATTAAATTTTTTATTTGGTTTTCAGAAATCTTGACTGAAAATCATTGCCTATTACAATATAATCATATTAAATTTTTGATGAAATTTTCATGCCAAAGGTATGACAGACCGAAGGAAAAATTCTGTTGCAAAATTTTCTATTAAACTAGCTGTATCTTACAAGATGATCACTTTAATATTAATATATTCTTAATGAAACTTTTTTTGGTAACCTCGTTTATATTAATTCATTTCAACGTATTCCACTGGTTTTGAATAAAAAAATTTTGAATACTTGTAACACTATTTCACTTGTGCAAACATTCGGTAACATCATCTTATGAGTTCCCGAATTTCCCTGTCTCGAAGACATTTGACATTTTGTTATATTTTGTCTTTCTGGGCTACTTCTAGATATTTATTTTGCAGGCCAGGATCCTTTTCGAATCACTGAACCTTTTTAGTAAGTAAATAAAGGCATTTGAACCAACAGCATTTCGCTCAGTATATCGATAATAAATATAAATCGCTAAGCTGACTATTTTATCTTTGCTAAATCTTTTAATTAACAACCCATTTTAAATCTTTGAAACAAGTTGCTTGCTGTCAGTGTAGAAAAAAAAAACATAATCCCTCCAACTCATATCATTTTTGGAATACAAAAATTACATTTAAGTTTAACAATATTGTATAAGCGTGTAAAATATACATACCATATGGACTCCAACGAGTAATATACCACAGAATATGACTTCAACGAAATACAAGAAAAACGTCAACCATACATGCGCAAAGAAACCCACGCCTTTGTATATGATAATAACATCACTTATCATGGTAACATTCTCGGCATTCTTGTTCAAATAATGTATGTATGCACCGCATATGAAACCTGCAAACAGCTGAAACAGACGATACGATTTTCTCATCATAATTAACCTTCCCAATTTATTTCCACTCGAATACTATTGTTGCTATTATCACTCTACTATTGTTGCTGGTACTATTCTAAGCCCACTTAAGAGGATACCAATACGCTACGTACTTCTGCGACGAAGAATCTATGGGCTATGTTCTGAATATTAGAGATAGCTGTTCGACTAATTCAAATTCTCATCTTACGCCCCAATATGTATCATCTACTTGATATCACCGAAAATCAGGGGATTTTTGGTTCAGTTGCCTATCTCTGCTTCAATAAGCCTCAGAATACCTTAGATTCCGTTTTTACAGGTTAAAAATGGTTCACCTACATCGTCTTCTAGAACGAATTTTGACATTTGACACCTGGGTATTATATAGGGTTTAATGGCAGTAATGCGTTTCGGTTTGAAGGATGGGGCAGCCGTTGTAACTATACTTGAGACCTTAGAACTTATATTTCAAGGTGGGTGGCGCATTTACGTTCTAGATGTCTATGGGCTCCAGTAACCACTTAACACCAGGTGGGCTGTGAGCTCGTCCACCTATCTAAGCAATAAAAATAAAAATAAAAAACTCCACCTACGGCGGAATCGCGGCGGTCATTTGGCTGAAATTATATTCCATACATCATGTCATCGAATATCCTTTAAAATAAAATTTAAAATTGTGGCATTATCACTTAAACACTTTTTATTTTATTTTTAAGTTCGAGCGCTCTTAATGAAAAACCTTTTATTAAAGATGTTTCTCTATTTAAGGAACAGCTTAGAAGACAACCCAACCAAATAACACAATAACATGTGATGAGCTAAAAATCTGATTGTAAGCAGGCCTTAGGTTTCGTCAATGAGAAGTTTTATAACATAGTATGGAGATAATTACTGCAGTCTGTAATTGGGTGTCTAAATTTTTATTTTTTATTACTTAATTGAGTGGACGAGCTCACCCACCCACCAGCGGTAAGTGGTTACCGGAATCCATAGACATCTACAACGTTAATGCCACCACCCAAGAAAGTTATGATCTCGAGATGTTTGTTCATAAAAAGACTTCACCGCACTTCAAATATGAGATAAATTTTCATAACAAATACCCTTCCAAAAGCATTAAAAATATATGAATAGTAAAACTTGTGAAAGCTGTGATTTATATTATGATAGCTGTACCCGTCCGTTTCGCTGGGCATTTAAAATTAACATTATTATTTCTCACCCCCACAAAGATTATCATCATTAACGCCCACGCAACTGGTGTAGGGAGTCCAACACTCATATAAATATTAGCCCATCCGTTAAGTACATGTATTTTCTACATGGATACTAAGTTTCAAGTCAATCGGATGCATGGTTCAGTAGTTATAACGGAACATCCGTAAAACCACTGTAGATTTATATATTAGTATAGATATGATTTTAAATTATGCCCTTCTTCAAACGAGGCTTGTGGAGAGACTTAACGGTAGGCAGCGGCTTGGCTCTGCCCCTCTCATTGCTGAAGCCCACGGGCGACGGTAACCACTCACCATCAGGTGGGTCGTATGATCGTCTGCCTACAAGGGCAATAAAAATAAAAAATAAAAAAATAACCAAAAACATAGTAGGAAGTGAGTTTTTTATCAAATTTAAATTCTAAAGTGATAAACAATAGAGTATATAATTATTATATTTTTGTATTTATTAACTGCAAGTCTTGATCAGTAAATCGTTTGTCGTTCTTTCACAAAAAAAAAACTTGTAAAAACAAAATTTATAGAAAGAATTCACTTGCATTAAAATAACAACACTCATATAAAAGCTTGAAATATGTTATGGGGACTTACGTCTCCTTTTTTTTTATTTATTAAAATCTAAAATACTTACCAAATTTAAATAACCAAATATCATAATGCCGTATCGGAGCGGCACAAAAAAACAGCATCTCGTTAATTCAGGTATTTCTAGACGCATATTAGTAGTAACTTTTTAAATCACGGAATTAAAATCCAAAAAAAAATCCCTTTGCGAACAAATAAATTTTGCGCCTTCAAAACATTATAGAGGCATCTATTCGGGGAAACATTTCTTCGAATCAACAATATTAATCTTGACTTTTCGTAGCTCTGATGCGGTATAGGGTTATCAGTCAAGCGTCTGGCAGTAAACTGTTCGAATAAGTTCCATCCAATTGTCAATTATCTTGTTTATTTCAAGGAAACGGCGTCTTATGAACGAGAGTGGGAATTATGGATAACAAGACGTTTAGAGCTGTCGAGATGCGTGTTAGTAAATATTGCAGAAGGATACCGACTCTTTATAAGAGATAACAAAGAAGTTAATGCGTTTCGGTTTGAAGGGTGGGGCAGCCGTTGTAACTATACTGAGACCTTAGAACTTATATCTCGAGGTGGGTGGCGCATTTACGTTGTAGATGTCTATGGGCTCCAGTAACCACTTAACACCAGGTGGGCTGTGAGCTCGTCCACCTAACTAAGCAATAAAAAAAAAATATGCCAACAAGATCGGGTAGGGCGGCGAAGAACATCTAATTTCGTATAGTATAGTTGTGTTGTTGAAACAATTTTTGGAACGAAGTTCCTTATGGGACGATGCGGAAGGGTACCCTAGCCGGGAAAAAACGTCCGTAGCGTAAGATTTTTATTAGTAATGCACACAGTGTACGACTTAACTTTGTAATAACGTACAAAAAATAACTAATTTTTTTAACATTCATTGACCACGATGTCAGAGCGTTCGTTTGCGCAATACACTAACTCTTATGCAAACAACCGTGAATGAAGTGTAGCACAATAAGTTCGCACGTTACCGAATGAACGTGGGTTGTTGGGAAACCTCCAGTTTTATTTTCTTTATACCTCGAATAGAACTTAAAATTAATATTTTTATAATAAGGAATTTCGTTCCTATCCGGTGTCCCACGACACCACACATCTTTTTATATATTATAGTCGATCCTTATCCTTATCTTACGAGTATAATTTAAACGCCAACACGGAAATAATTCGACATAATTTAAATTATGTACAATGAAGGTGCGCAATGCGTACATGCGTAAGAATATTAATAGAAATAAAGAAACAAAATTGCTAGCATAAATTATACAAAATATTGAAAGTAAAATAAGTAGAATATTGAACAGAAAGAAAAAATACATTCCATATTAGTATTCAGGTCTGACTGCCGGCGCTTTCTAAATATTCATAGATATGTGTGACCTTAATGTTCTTTTTTTCTATTCGCTGGTAGCTTAAGAGGCTATTTCAGCTACGCACGGACGGGTACGCGAGCTCACGGGCTCAACCTGAGAGAATTTGCTAACACTAGCCCTAGCAAGAGCAGTGCTTCACTGAATCAGTCACCGGATCGGAATCGCGAACCACTGGGACGATCCGGCGAGAAACTCAGTGGGATGTGTCTATGGATTAGTTAGCTTGTCGAACTCGACGTGCTGGACGTTTCTCTGTATTCAAAGTTGTTGAATTCTCTGTACAAAATTCGATCGTAGTTTGTAATATTATCTTGTTTTATAATTTTGTCACTTCAACATTTGGCTCTAATGGCTTTGAAGTGGATTGCAGTCATAACTCAGCGCTTTTATTAGAATTTCTCGAACATGCCTACAAAAACAAATTCCATGCGTGGGAAAAGAAACACAGACTTCATTATAAAATAAATATTGTTTCCTTAAGGTTATTAGTTATTGACGACTCTCTCAGGCGGCAGGACGTTTCTCAAAACGTAATCCTTTTCAATAAAGAATGCATATCCTCTATGCTTGATTAGAAGTAAACTTATCGTATTTTTCATTATTCACGATTAACCTATCCATAGCTTCCAAAAAAGTAATTATGATAAAGTTTTTGCGAATCATAGACATAATTAAAATTACTTTTACACTTTAATCTCGCGCTTCCGAAAACTGTAAAGTATTTAAAACGTCGGAAAAAAAAAACGCGATATTACTCTGTAAAACCAGTTTTAATTATACTTATAATAGTATTTTTCTCAGTTTTTTTTTTATTGTGTAGATGGGTGGACGAGCTCACAGCCCACCAGGTGTTAAGTGGTTACTGGAGCCCATAGACGTCTACAACGTAAATGCGCCACCCACCTTGAGATATAAGTTCTAAGGTCTCAAGTATAGTTACAACGACTGCCCCACCCATCAAACCGAAGCGCATTACTGCTTCACGGCAGCAATAGGCAGGGTGGTGGTACCTACCCGTGCGGACTCACAAGAGGTCCTACCACTAGTAAAGTATTTATAGTATAGTAAAATTATATAAATTCCTTTCAAGTCTTGCCATTGCGTGACCTATAACGACCTATGAAATTATAATTATGTTAAAACAATCAAAGTATATCAAACTATGAAACGCTATACGTGTTTGCTGCATTACTTTTTGACATTCTGTTTGCTGCTCATTAGTGTACTAAAAAAACATATTATTATTATAAATTTCAAGCGGATACTCGTACAGTAGTCAGTACACTTTCAGTCCTTTTGTTCGTTCCACGCGTACTCAGAACAAAGATTAATTAAGGTAAATTTCTGAGAAAGGCTATTTCAGCTGCATCATTTAATTGTAATTTGATTCAACGGAGAACAATAAATGTTGTTTGCAAGCTTGTCTTAATAGATTTTCTAGAGTACTGTAACGAGATGCGAAAAAAATACTATGAATACGTATGTTTCAACAATACTTCTTTCTAATCTATCTTCTATATATATAAAAATAAATTGCTGTTCGTTAGTCTCGCTAAAACTCGAGAACGGCTGGACCGATTTGGCTAATTTTGATCTTGAATTATTTGTGGAAGTCCAGAGAAGGTTCAAAAGGTAGATAAATATGAAAATGCTCGGAATTAAATAAAAATAATAATTTTGTTTTTCTTTTGATGCGTCCCCCGTTGGACGGATTCCTTTTGTTTGTTCTAAGTTTATTTTATACAAGTCTTTTATTTTGTCGATTGAGGCACTACGGAGTCTGCCGGGTCAGCTAGTTAACTACATTTGTGTAACGAAGGTAGATATTCCCCCGTATCAAACAGGACCATTGACGCTAAGCGTTAGCTGTTTTTTATTCACAATACATTGCGTGCAGTGCAAAAATCATCATCAACTATATAATCGCATTTCTTTCGTCCCAGGAATCAGTAGGTAACCTTTATTTTTTAATGTACCTTATTAATTTAATAACTAGTCTTTGCGCATCCTGGGGTCATGGAACGGGGTAAAGCTCACTGCCCGGGCGAAATCTCCCCTCCTAATGGGGTAGAGTGTGATGATGTGTTATGTATATAGGGTGACATGGTAATCTATATATAGGCATAATATTGTTACGCGCTGAGGGTTCGGGATAAATAAAATTTCACCAAAGTACAACTTAAAAACTGTATTCAACACTTAAAACACTCAACAAACACTTTAAAACTCTCAATTCGCTTGTTTCGCTTCGCTTCAGGTAATCCGTTCGCTGTTTCGCTTCGAGTAGTTCCGATTACTGACTGACTGCGTACCATCTCTACTACGTTTTTATAGCCGATACCTCATCCCTAGAATTATCGAGAGTATTCTAACATCTCTAGTAGTAGTTTCCGCTATCTGTCAATAGATGGCGTTGTACTTCTCGAGCGTTCTGGGCGCTACTAGATCCTTCGATATTCGTTCGACTATTTAGCGATAGATGGCGTTACTCTTTATCGGCGTAACAATATGTTACTGGGCTCAATGTGCCCAATAAAATATTATGAGATAGTTTTAAGATTTGATTACAGCGTTCGAAGAATAGTGTACTTTGTGAATTAAAATAGGATAGTACGGTGCGCGCTTTAGAGGCGCCTTAGGGTGAGAGGTTATTTTCTCCCACGTTAAACCTTATGAATTTATCCGTTTGTCTCTTTTTACTGTCGCTTTTTCGTTTCATCGACTTTCAAATCACAATGATGCTTAAGAAGTTATCAAAAATACTATTAAGGTAGCCGTATTCACGTCTTCGATAGACCTTAAGCCCGTCTTCATGGTTAATATAAATGGATTTTTCAACGGTCTCACTTCGGCTATATATAATTAATAAATAATAGTTTAAAAAAACTAACATAATAAATACGCTTTTATAAAAAACCCAACTAAAAATAGAAAATAAATTTTAATAAATTTGAATTAAAAATAGTGTAAAAAAAGCGTGTTCTATGTTTTAGTTGAATTTTCTATAAAAGAGTATTTTGTTAGTTTTTTTAAACTTTATTAATTTTTCATTTTTTAGTTAAATTTCAATTTTTTCAATTTGTTTAAATTTTTTTTTTAATATTGAATTGTCATCGGTCCTTAATAAGTATACCAAATTTCGAGTTAATCCGACGTTTTGAGGGGAGTCAAAATCATGTTCAAAGATTCCGTTACATACTAACATACATACGTCTGCAGCTGATAAAAGTGTATTAAATTTTTCTAGTGACATAATGAATGCAACTTTCATCGTCGGCACGTTGTTCCACTGCGGGAACATATCGGAATATATGCACATGCACAAATACGATCCTTTATGGAGACAAACGTGGACTGGTTGCGACATAATTGAAGTACTTCAGCACATTTACGAATTTAAGTAAGTTACATTTTTCGTTGATGATCAAATATTTTGATTTAGTTGTAGTTGCACCGGAAAACTAGAATATTATTTATTGCTTACATGTTTAGACGAGCCTATAGCCCACCTGATGTTAAGTGGTAACTGGACCCCATAGACATCTACAACGTAAATGCCGCCACTCACCTTGAGAAATGAGTTCTAAGGTCTCAGTATAGTTACAACGGCTGCCCCACCCTTCAAGCCGAAACGCATTACTGCTTCATGGCAGAAATAAGCAGGGCGATGATCCCTACCTGTGCGGACTCACAAGAGGTATTACCACCAGTAGACACCACTTGATGATATTCGATTTTCAACGATATCGAAGTTCAATAATATTTATTACACGTTCCTTATGCTATACGAGTATAAGTGATAACTATCGCCCGTGGCATCGACAAAACTATAAATAATAACAGAATATTATATTTCTCACGTCATAGAAAATACGATATATCGTAAATCTGGAATATGTTTATTTCGGACTATTACTTTGTTATAAATACAACGCGATTCCTTCAGTTG